TTTCTGCTTTCCTTTTTGAAATTAGGTATGAGGTTAATTTCCAAAATGGAATAGAATGTGGTGGTGCCTATGTGAAACTGCTTTCTAAAACACCAGAACTCAACCTGGTAGGTGATTCCTATTTCTTTATGTGGCTGGCCACCCACAATTGTAAGCTTAGTTAGAGAAGAGGAAAGAAAATTTTGTAAGACCTGTGAAAATAAAGGCTTCTTCCTCTGCCGTTTAAATCTTTTAGAAGGTTAGGAATATTGACTTTGACACTAATGTGCTTTTTATTTGAAATGTGAATTTCAAAGCTATTACCAACTGTTTTTATCTTATCTCTGGTTTCTGTTCTGTGTAGTTTTTTGTTTTAGCAAGCTTATTTTTTTGTTTTATGAAGGAAACTGGATATATGTATTTTTTCTTAAAGCACTTAACTGTGTTCTTATTTTAAATTTCCTGATGATTGCTGGTTATTCCTTTTCACTAAAAAAACCTTATAATCAGCTTTTCAACTTTAATAGTGACGAATTTATTTGGAATTTTATACAAGAAAATATTATTTACTTTTGAAAGGTTGCTTTTGGACACTTTGACTAGAGTTACTTAAAATAATTTATTTTTGTTTCTGAAGGATCAGTTCCACGACAAGACCCCTTATACGATTATGTTTGGTCCAGACAAATGTGGAGAGGATTATAAATTGCACTTCATCTTTCGCCACAAAAACCCTAAGACGGGTATTTATGAAGAAAAGCATTCTAAGAGGCCAGATGCAGATCTGAAGACCTATTTTACTGATAAGAAAACACATCTTTACACATTAAGTAAGAAAAACTATTAGTTTGGGGGTTTTACGGCATTGCAAATGTATCATCCATTTAAAAATTACCCAAGACTGTCTTGACTTAATATCTTAGCTAGGAAATGAGCTTAATTTGTCAGCGTTAAAACAAGCTTCTCTTTCACAGGTAGAACTGAGAGCTGAGGTTTGAGACAATTTCAAGAATAGGGTGTTATGTCCCATGCAGAGCTTCTCTGCTGATTTCCCTCTTTTCGCCCTTTTGTATATTTTCTTGTTGATAAAATGTTGAATAATAGGATATACAATAGAAATATATATACAAGGTTTCAAAATTATCTTTTAGTTGAACTTTCTTTGGATGTTCCGGTACCACCTGGACAATTGAATTTAGTCATTTGGACATTAGAATAAGTTTTGTTTTGTTTTTTAAATGAAGCTTTTCCTGCTGATTTGAGATCATTTATAGACATGCCTCTTTTTGTAAAGAATGTAATAACCTTTTTATTTTAGAATTACAAAACTAACATATATATTTAGGGTACAGGAATTCAGAGGATGTGAATAAGCAAAAAAAAGGACACTTAAGGGGCTGAGCTGGTGGCTCACGCCTGTAATCCTAGCATTCTGGGAGGCCGAGG